GGGCGGGGACGCCCTCGCCGACGCTGCAGCAGGGCCTGGGGCTGCCCTTACTTGTAATCTTCGGTCTCCGCCTTCCGAGCCATCTCCTACCACGTGGTGGGCGGACCCGGACGGTGCTGAGCCTTAGACCTCGGAGGACCCCGAGTCCCGGCCACAGTCCAGAGCGGGCGCTGAGAGGCGAGCGAAAGCTTAGGACCAGGAGAGAGCTAGGTGGGGACCCCAGGGAGGGGTAGCGGGATCTGCAGCTCCCTGGCATGAAAGCTGGGCAACTGGGAGAAACGTTTTGACGGGCGGGAGGAGTAAATGTCTGGATTCAAACCGGACTCAGATCTCTACCTGTTTCGAAACTGCATGAGCCCCAGCCTTCTCTGCAAAGCAGGCTTTCAGAAACTTCGTGGGGTTCTTTTGGAGCTTCAGTAAGGAAATGTGTTGAGAGCGGCCGGCACAGCTCCTGAAATGGAATGGGGGCTCCGTAGTGGGGGCTCTAAAGCAGGGTGTCCTGTCTTTGTGGGCTGTGCGGGGGAACCGCAGTGGGAGGGACTGTGCAGATGGAACTCCTCCGGGGCCCAGCGGCTGGGAGGGGGTATTACGGTACACTTTGCCCCCAGCCCACCGGTGCACTGCCATGACCAGCAAGGGTCCGGAAGGCGAGCACCCATCCGTGACGCTCTTACGAAGGCGGCCCCCCAACCCGTGACGCTCTCCCGCCAATATCTGCGAATCCGCACGGTGCAGCCCCAGCCCGACTATGGTGAGAGCGCGGCTCCTGGGCCTGCCATGGGACCTCAGGGGTGGGGGTGGGGGACTCTAAACCAGCCCCCACTTCTCGTCTCCCAGCTGGGTCCTGCTCTGCTGCCCAGTGACTCCCTAACTCCTTGGGTAGTCAGACCGTGGCAGCCCCTCCAGAGTGGAGGACCCTTGCGCATCTAGCTACAACTTTGTCTCACTCCCTGGGGGGCGGGGGGGGGGCTAGTGGGGAAGGCAGGGCAGCCAGGAGGGGCCAAGAGGCCCCATAGAAGTTCCTGGAGCTGGTCGTGGCCGTCGCCCTCAGGAAATCATGCTGGGGAGACCAGCAGATGGCGCTTACTTCGCTGAACTCCCACGTAGTCAACCATGTTTCAAGTCCCAGACCAGCGGCTTGAAACTCATGCCAGGCGTGTATGCATGCGTGTCCAAAATCCTGAGAGAATAGAGAAAAGGGATTGTGTCATGGATATCCCCCCACTCTGCCACCAGTGATTTCTCAATTTCTGTCTGTCTCTGTCTCTTCTGCTAGTGCATGTGCCCTATAGCAAAAGTTTCTCAAAAAAGAAAAAAGAAAGAAACAAGGAAAAAAGAAATCAGCTTGATAGCTGGGAACTTGAACGTGGTCCCAGTCCCTGCTCTATATTTACCTGCTAAGTGGCACTAGGTCAGTCTTGTCATGTCTCTGCCATAGTGTCCCCATCTTTAAGGAGGGTAGTAAGACTGCTTTCAACTCCAGATGTCCCCCTGACCTTCCACAAAGAGCCCTGATTGGCCACAAGTATCTTCTTGCTTGGGGACGGAAGCGCAGGTGTCTCTGAGAGATGTGGACTCGCACATCTTGGGGCTGCTCTGCTCTCTGGGCTGCCTGGACCAATGGGAGTCCTGAGTAGGTGGGTGCAGCCTGGTGACTCTGTCCCCAGGGGCTGCTGTGGCTTTCCTTGAAGAGAGAGCACGCCAACTAGGCCTGAGCTGTCAGAAGGTGGAGGTGAGCCTGGGGCCCTGCATGTGTGGAGGGTGGGCCTGGGCACCTCACCTGACTCTGACCACCTCCTGTCCTGCCTCATCTCATGTCCAGGTGGCCCCTGGCTATGTGGTCACTGTGCTGACCTGGCCAGGAACGAACCCTACACTCCCGTCCCTCTTGCTCAACTCCCACACGGATGTGGTGCCTGTCTTTGAGGTGTGTTTGGGGCTAGGGGGCGGGCGGCTGGCCTTGGGGACAGACAGGATCTGACTTCAGGTGCTGTCTGGCACTCGTCCCCGCACCCACACGGCATCACCCTGCACCAGCAGTCTCTGACCAGCAATGGTCAGGTGCTGGGGTGGGAGTGGAGGCAGGAGACGGGGATAGGAAGGGCAGTCTGCCCTCCTCTGCCCCACTTACCCCACCAGTCACCCCAACCCTCTGGTGGCACCTAGGGCAGGGCCACCATTGACCAGAGTGGGTCAATGACTAGCCTGGGCCTCGGGTCCCTCTTCCTATCCCTGCCCCCAGGAACATTGGAGTCATGGCCCCTTTGAGGCTTTCAAGGACCCGGAGGGCTTTATCTATGCCAGGGGTGCCCAGGACATGAAGTGCGTCAGCATCCAGTGAGTGTCCCTACCTCCCAAAGAACTGGCCCGTGACCTGGGAGTGTGACTGGAGAACCTCAGGACCAAGGGACATTCCTACCCCTTCCCTTGGGCTGGAATCACCGCCATGACCACTGCAAGGATGGGGAGACCGAGGACCGGAGGGGGACAGGGACTTTCTGGAGTCCCTGCCAGGCTGTGGCAGGGTGGAGGCCTAGGACAGGATTCCAGCCTGCCAGCCCTGCCAGCCCGACCTGCGCCAGCCTTTGCATCTGTGGCACCCGGTACCTGGCTTGTGCCCCGCTCAGGTACCTGGAGGCTGTACGGAGGCTGAAGGCTGAGGGCCGCCGTTTCCCCAGGACCATCCACATGACGTTCGTGCCTGGTAGGAGTGACTTGGGGAGAGGCACCTTTGGGAAGGGAGAGCGCTGTCAGGCAGTGGTCTCTCATCTCATGCCCCTGCTGCTTTCATAGATGAGGAGGTCGGGGGCCACCGAGGCATGGAGCTGTTTGTGCAGCGGCCTGAGTTCCAGGCCCTGCGGGCCGGCTTCGCCCTGGATGAGGGTGAGCAGGTGGGCGAGCCCCCAAGCTGCCGGGAGTGGGCAGGGAGGCTGCGGTGGGCAAAGCCGCCCACCCTCTGAACCCCCTTTTCCTCCTTAGGCCTGGCCAATCCCACTGATGCTTTCACAGTCTTTTACAGTGAGCGGAGCCCCTGGTGTGAGTATGGGCCTGGAGGGAGGGTCACTGTACAGGGGGTGAGGGGTAGGTCGGAAAGGGCAGGGGCCTATAGGGGTCACCCAGCAAGCTGGCACCTGAGTAGCCCTGAACCCAGGGCCTCTGCCTTCCAGCCCCTTCCTTCCTGGGGTTCTCCTTCCTGAGCTGCTCTGTGGGCAACTCCTGACCATGTACCTGCCCGAGGAGCTTGGAGCAAGGGCTTTGGGCCACCCCAGGCTGATTGGACACCCAGCCCCTCTCATGCTGAAGGCACTCTCTCCTCCTTCCCCGCACGCCTCCCAGGGGTGCGGTTCACCAGCACAGGGAAGCCAGGCCACGGCTCGCGCTTCATCGAGGACACAGCAGCAGAGAAGCTGGTGCGCAGCTGGGAGGAGGTGGGGGGTTCAGGGCTCTGTTCTGGGCCATCTTCACTTCTAGCCTCACTGTTTTAGCTCCGGGTTGTGAACTCAGTACTAGCGTTCCGGGAGAAGGAAAGGCAGAGGTGAGGCAGGCTGGGAGGGGTGGGGTTGGCTATGGAGGGCTGTAAGAGAAAGGAGGGAAGCTGAGCCCCTCGCTCCCCTCCTCCTTTGCAGGCTGCTGTCAAACCCACACCTGAAGGAGGGGGCCGTGACCTCTGTGAACCTGACCAAGCTAGAGGGCGGCGTGGCCTTTAACGTGGTACCCGCCACTATGAGTGCCTGCTTTGACTTCCGCGTGGCACCAGACGTGGACATGAAGGTGTCCCCCTTCCCCTGACCTGGGTTTGGAGGTGGGAGCCCAGCTCTTCTGTCTTGTCTCCGAGGCTCTGGGGAAGCCCTGGGGGTCAGCTCATGTCCCTTCTCTTAGGCTTTTGAGAAGCAGCTTCAGAGCTGGTGCCAGGAGGCTGGTGAGGGGGTAGCCTTGGAGTTTGCTCAGGTATGGGGGTGCACCATGGGAGATGTGGGGGCTGGGGAAAACCAGGCTGGCCACATGCATGACACCATGGAGCATAGGCTTGGTGTGTATGCTGACAGGCATTTAAGCCAGAACAGGCATTTAGTCATTCAACAGGCACCGAGGAGGCACCTGTGGGAGTGCTGAAGGGTGGAATTGGGCAGTTACTGCCCTCGTGGTCCTTACGACCTGAGGAAGGCAGGGAGAGCACATCTTATAAGAATTATTTACTTTTGGAGAGATTTTTGCTATAGGGCACACGTGCTCACCATAAACAGAGACAGAAAGAAAGAAATCACTCCCCAGGGGAGATGGCCATGCTGCAATCCCTTTGCCTCCATTCTCTTCTCGGGATCTTGGGCACACACACACATGGACCTGGTGTGAGTTTAAGCCACCAAGCCCAAGACTTGAACCATGGTTGACTACATGGGAGTCCAGCAACATAGCCATTACGCTAACTGCTGGTCCCAAAAACTTAATTGCCAAAGTGCACGGTGCATTCAAGAGACAGGGAGGGAGGGGAGAAGGAACTTCCCAATGGGACGTGGTAGCACACCATCTCTTCACTTGTCCATCCTGTTGGGTTTGGGAACACACGCACACGTGCCTTGCATTTTTTTTCCTTTCTTTTTTTGGAGTTTTTTTTACTACAGGGAGTGTGCGCTCACCAGAAAGAAAGAGACAGAGAGACAGAAAGTGAGAAATCACCCCCCCCCGGGGGGATGGTCATGCCACAATCTTCTCCATTCTACTCTCGGGATCTTGGGCACTCACGCACACGTCTGGCATTTAAGCCACCGCATCCAGGATCTGAACCATGGTCGACTACATGGGAGTCCAGCAACATAGCCATTATGCTAACTGCTGGTCCCCACGCCTGGCATTTTTCAAACAGCTGGGGTTGGGATTCGAACTGCACTTGGCCATGTGGGATCTGGCTCCCTTAACCACCATGCTACTGGGCCAGCCCCCATATTACTTTTATGTAAGTATGAACCTATGTGGTCCAGGAAAGGGTGGGCCTCGTACTCCGAGACCTTTAATCAGGGTACTGGCTGTCTGAGAGTGCTGTCCTGGGATGGACAGGAGAGAAGTAGGTGGACAGTGTGCACCAGTCCCAGACCCAGGGCTTCTGAGGGACTGACTGGAGGTCTGGGTGGGTCGGAGTGGAAGTACAGCCCTCTCCCTGCAGGGAACGGAGCAAGATGCCACTGTCATCTTGCCACTGTCGTCCTTACCCTTTCCCCTCCCTAGAAGTGGACGGAGTCCCGAATGACATCTACTACTGACTCAGACCCCTGGTGGGCAGCATTTAGCCAGGCCTGCAAGGACATGTGAGTGCACTGGCCTGCCCTCACAGCCCAGCTTTCCCCCACCCCACACTGGGCTCCTCTCCCCTTCCCCTCCCTCCCATCTTCCACCCAGTTCACCAGGCTCTTCTCCGCAGGAACCTCACTCTGGAGCCCCAGATCTTCCCTGCTGCGACGGACAGCCGCTATCTCCGTGCGGTGAGGCCACTCAGCCGGGTGTGGGCACAGGCTGGGTGAGGGCTAGCCTTCCCCTGATGCCCCCTTCTCACCTTCTGCAGGTGGGCATCCCGGCTCTCGGCTTCTCGCCCATGAACCGTACACCTGTGCTGCTGCATGACCACAACGAGCGGCTGCACGAGGCCGTGTTCCTCCGTGGGGTTGACATCTACACTCACTTGCTGCCCGCTCTTGCCAGCGTGCCCGCCCTGGCCAGCGACAGCTAAGCTCCTCTGCCCCTGGAGCTTCCATCCCAATCAACCAGCGTGACTCCCTCCTGCTGCCCAGTAATAAAGTCTGAGTAGTTAGGGGATGACTCATACTGAAGGCGGGTTCCCTGGGGACTTGCTGTTACCATCCTAATCCTGCAGACTAGGAAACTTGCCTGGCCATCACCCACTGTTCTGTGCCCCTGCGCGCAGCACACCCAATCCACTGTTCCCATTGCCCTTCTACCTGACCTGAGGCAGGGACAGCGCTCCCACAGAAAGGGGGTACCAAGACAAGGACTGCTCCCGTGTTCTGGAAGCATGCTGAGGAAGACCAAGCCAGGGCCAGGACAGACAGGCACAGATGGGCCCTACAGATGTGGGATGGGCAGAGGGACAACTTGCATGACAACAGTTGGCATTTGCCAAAACCTGGAGGATCTGGTGTTGGAGCAAGGTCACAGGCGTAGGAGCCCTCATAGGTCAGCCCACCCTATAGTGCCCAACACCCTGGGCAAGGACCGTGGGTGCATGTGTCCAGGTGGGACCAGGAGTGGGCTATGGGCCAGCAGCTGAGCCTGCTCCTAGCTATCTTTACCTGTCCTGACCCCATGGGTGCCAAGGCACAGGGGTGACCGAACTGGCTTTGTGGTCAGTCAAGTTGGGAGCCTGGCCTGCACTTAGCCCTATCAATAACAACTGCCCAGCTGCCAATGTGCCAGGTCCATTACCAAGCATTCCCAGCAGTTCTTTGACAGAACAAAGCTCCTGGAGAAAAGCCTGCCCCGAACTAGAGCCTGGAGAGGAAGCAGTAGACATGAGACCTCCAACAGCCCCTGGCACTGTGGCTAGGCTTAACTGTGAGGCAGAGGAGCACAGCACCAGGCCCCGTGGGGACAGAGGTATGTACCAACACATGATCCTTCTGGCATCAGATTTGCTTCCCTAGCACAGGGAGGCTCCTGTGGAGGGTGAAGGCAGTCTCCAGACCTAACTAGTCTAAGCCCCTGACCTGGCCTTCCTCAGACAGGAGCTCCCCAGAGGGACCACTCCCGTCACAGCAAGATGGGAAAGGAAAGCTTCAGGGCTAGCCAGAGCACCAGCACTAAGGTCTCATTTTGGAAGTCATTCAACCTGGTGACCTCTGACTGAGCTAATTAACCTTCAGGACACAAAACCTGCTCACCTCAGAAACTCCCCAGCAAGGGCAGGTGGCCACAGAGAATGCCAGACTATGGTCCACAGCCAGCAGCCTAACCACGAAGTGACCCACGGAGTGCCTCCACAAATGCCTAGAAGTTGACAGTCTGCCCTGTGGGGTGAGAACGTGCATGTGATACAGGTGGGGTCGAGGCAGCACAACAGGGCCCTCCTGGCTCCCTAGCACCCCCCAGAGCAGTGGCTTCTGACCAGCGGCACCAGAAGAGCCCAGATCTGGTACCTCAGTCTAGAGCGCTGAGACCTGCAGCTGTAAGACTAATGGGGATTCTAGACTTCTCCCTGGACTCAGCACCCACAAAAGCCTAAACTCTTCCCACATTGAGCAACCCCACTTGCTGCCCTGGGATGACACACACAGGCCAGCTCCCACCTTAGGTTTATTTGTACACACAACACAGGAGGACACCAGCCCCACAGAGAGAGCAGCCCGGGAGTCAGTCCTTCTGTCCTCATATTGGCAAAGGCCTCTACTACGGGGCTTTTGTGGGGGCCTGGACACCTTTGGGAGCCTGAGCCTGAGCTGGAACTGAAGACGGAGCTGCAGCTGAGGCCTGGGCTTTGGTCTGAGCCTTGGCCTGGTTGGCCTTTGGACGAGAAAGCCTGAGGCCCTTGGCGATACGAGCGCGAGCACGCTTCCCAAGCTTAGGGTGGGCAATGTAGGCAAGACGACTGAGCTTGCGGCTGCTGCCCTTCGGGACACCCTTCTTAACCTCCTTGGGCTTTACGAGGGCCTTGATGGCCTCCGCTCGCGCACTCATGGCCTTGGCGTTGTTGGCCTGCATCTTCTTCAGACCCTTCCTGTTGTGCTTCTTGGCAAAGCGCATGTTCCTCAGGAATTTGGGGTCCACCTGGAAAGGAGGCAAAGTATAGATGGCAGCATGTAAGGACCAAGTCACCCCCCCTTGCGCCCCTTTCCATAGGGGACCCCAGCATTCTGAAGTCAGCATCTAGTCAGCCTAAACGTGGAAACATCCAGGCTTTAGAAATGGATTCAAGGCAGGGACCAGCAGTTAGCATAATGGTTATGTCGCTGGACTCCCATGTAGTCGACTGCAGTTTGCGTCCCGGACCTGGTGGCTTAAAACTCACGCTGGGCGTGTGTGCGTGCGTGCCCAATATCCTGAGAGGAGAATAGAGAAGGGACTGCAGCGTGGCCATCCCCCCTGGGAGGCGATTTCTCACTTTCTGTCTCTCTGGCGAGTGCATGCGCCCTATAGCAAAAACTTCTCCCTCACCCCCCAAAAAATAAATGGATTTGAGGCAAATGGGTACTACATCCCCATGGAGTTGACACCCCAGCTAACTCATGCCATGCAGACCACTTCCCAAGGCCACATGCTAAGAGCACAGCGAAGCTGACAGTTTGACACTAGGACAGAAAGGCGACCTTCTCTGCTAGGGTCACTGGGCTTAAACTTCCTACAGCAGGGGTTCAGCTGCCTTTGTTTCTGTCATCTCCTCAGGGCCAATCCCTTCCCACTTAGAAAATGATAGTAAATACCATCCTGGACCAACAGATTGAGTAGAGGCAGAATGAGACCAAAACGGGGAAAGAGGGCCAGCACCACAGCCTAGCAGGTAAGAGAACAAGATGCCATATGGCTGTGCAACATTGGAATCCGGGTCCGGGGTGGCTCGAAAAATATGCTGGGCATGAGTGCATGCACCCACACCACAATATGGGAACACTCTCCCCATCTCTCTGGTGAGCACACGCATGCCCTCTGGCAACTGAAGAAAATCAAAGTGGGAAGAGTTCAAGAGATCCCCCCCCCCCCCACGCCACTTCCCCAGACTGGAAAGCAAGGACAGATGGGAGAGGCCTCTGAGGACAGGATCAGCTCTCGCAGTACTCAAGTCCAGCACCTTGACTGGGTCAGATGGAGACTGACCACTGAAATGAAAGAACCAGACGGTGCTCAACACAGACAAGGCTATTGTGTAAGTGCTCTAGTAGAGCCAGAGGGGAAAGCCAAACTACCCTCAGAAGGTAGATGACACCCTGACCAGAGGTTTTACCCCAGGCTGGGAAGCAGAGAAAATAACCCGCAGCCTTTGGCAGGCCATATAAGACAAGCGACAGTTAATAATGGGGATCAGGGAGGGTGAAACTGGAGCCAACAGGGGGCCAGCTGTGGCTCGGTACACACACTTACCCCTTTGAGAGATTCGTATCTTTGCGATCGAGGTTTCTTGATGCCATTTCTATGCCATTTTCGGGCTGTGGGGAAGAAAACGATTAGACCACAAGAGATTTTCTCTAAGACGACCACCCAACATCACAGCAGCCAAGTCTGGGAAAAGGAAGACCTCCTCCCAGAGCAGGTGTCTTTAAGACCGGGGGAACCCCCTTCTAGGGAATGCAAACACTGTGAGTATCTCAAGCTCTTACAAACTGTACAAGCTAAAAGTAATGCCTGCTAATCACAAAACCGGTCCCGGGTCCACAGGGAAACGTGCCCATGCCCACATACAAGTCCTTGCTGCGGTCTGGGTTGGGGATGGGTCCAAGAAACTTACACTGGTTGTGTGTGGTGTGGTTCTTGGACTTGGCCATGTCTGCACCTGTTGGACGAGAGTGGAGATTAGCGTTAGGGGCCCGCCGGGCTGAGACACCTCTGTCCCCGTGTGTCGGTGGAAAGGGAGCCCAGACGTCAGAATGAGGCTGCAACACCGACGCCTTATCTAGGACCCCCACTGCAAGGCCTGACTTAGGCCTCCGCCTCCCAACATAGGTAGCTAACCCCTGAACCCGTCCCCTTACCCCGTAAGGCTCCACTCCCCCATAAAATCCGAGTTCCTCCCTGCCATCCACCCCTTTTCGAACTACGAGCACCACTCCGCCTCGCAGCCGCCGCAACCCCGCGGCCCGCGCTCGGTAAATCGCGGATGGCATCGGATGTCGCGCGGCTGACACTCACCGAACCCCGCGGCCGCCGAGGAGCCTGGGGCCGGAAGAGAGAGAGAGAGAGAGAGGCCGCGGTGCAGCACGGGAAATACGCGCTACGACGTAGGAAGGTACTACTGGAAAAGCTTTCCCCAGCGCCCGGAAGAAAGGTTCCGAAGACCCGGAAAGAGCCACGCCGAACCTGGAGGTGGTGCTAAGAGCCTGGCTCCGCCCCTGCCCCGCCCCCGTCATGCTTCCTCCTCCCCTTTCTTTTCTCCTTTTTCAGTTTCTTTGGGACTTGGTTCTGGAGGCATAGTCCCTTTAAAGATCCTGGAGGCAAACGGGGCCCTTGAGAGATGCATGTTAGACAGAGAATGACAGGAGATCTGTATTCTTAAAAAGCGCCTCTGGTTCCTGCGTGACTAATGTCGCTTAGGGGCAGGAGGGAGGACGCAGACTGCCAAGAGGCAGAGGTGGCTGGTACAGGACAGGGTGGGGCCTGAGGGCTGCTAGACCTAGCCGGAGATGGAGAGGAGTGGATGAGGAGAGACCGGACTGAACTAGGTCGCAGAAGATGAGGGAGAGAAAGGAGCCCTTTCACTCGAGTATCTGGGTGAATGGTGATGCTGTCTACAGATGAGGACGATTGGGAAGAGCAGGGCTTTGGTTGGCTTGGCGAGTGGTGGGGCAATGATCCGTATGTGCTTTTCGGATGCATTGAATATGAGATGATTCCTGGACTTCCAAATTGAGGAAGCATCACTTCTTAAACAGCTCTGCTGCCCTCTTTGCCTCTTCCCTGCACAAGTCATTCTCCTGAGGGCTCTTGTAAAGATAAAAGCCAGGGCTCCCCTGTAGTACAGTGGTTAAGGGAGCTGGATCCCACATAGCCAACTGTGGTTAGAATCCCGGCCCCAGTGACTTGAAAAACACACCAGGCACATGTGTAAGGGTGTCCAATAATCCCCACAGGATGGAGAAATAGAGAGGGGATTGCAGCATGACTATGCCCCACGGGAGGTTGTTTTTTCTCTCTCTCTCTGGCACATGTGCCCTCTGGTAACGAAAACTAAATAAAGATAAAAATCAGAGCCTTGGGCGAGCAGGTGGCATGGTGATTAAGGTGCTGGACTCCCATAAAGCCCACCACAGTTCAAGTCCCGGACCTAGTGACTTGCTTTCTTATTTCCTCTTTCTCTCCCTCTCTCTGTCTGTCTCTGGTGAGTACTTGTGCCTTATGGCAAATTTAAAAATAATAGTAATAAAAAATAAATAAATAAATCATTTTTCAAAATCAGAGCCTACCACATAATGCCTATAAGGATATCCCTTTAGAAAATTAATTCTGTGCCCCCCCTGACCTTGGCATCCTCTGCTGGTCATTTACTTCTCTCCAAACCTGTGGCCTTCTTTCTTTGCCGGCAAGCACTCATGCTCGCTCCTGCCTCAGCCTTTGCACTTGAGAACCTCTTCCACCTTCTCTCTGCTCTTCTGTGTGTTCTTTCTTGTAGAGGCCTCTGTGCACTGCCCTATCCAGAATAGAGCCTAATAAGACTGGAGATAGGGGGGCCAGTAGATGGCGTAGCAGTCATGTCACTGGATGCCTACATGGATGTCCGTGGTTTGAGTCTTGGATCCGATGTCTTCAAACTCACGCTGGGTATATGGATGATTGTGCCCAAGACCCTGGGAGGAGAACAGAGGAGAAAAGACTGTGGTGTAGCCATCCACCCCCCGGGGGGGGGGACTCTTGCTTTCTGTCTCTCTGTGTCTCTCTGGTGAATGGATATACCCTATGGCAAAAATATCTAAAATGAACAAATAAACAAAAAAGGCTGGAGATAGGAATATTGAGCACACAAACAGAATAAGGCCAAGATGGAATCACAGTGGCTAAGTTTTCACAGCCGAAAGCTGGCTACATTAGGACTCAAAGCAACTGTGGTTAAGGGCAGTAATTTCTATTTAGTAACTGTGTTCTTACAAGAAGCACATAATGCTATGGTCTGCTGACTCCTCGAAGAATACGGTAAACATCTTGCCATTCATCATGTAACTATTTCCTAAAGCCCACTTCCTTAACAGAGGCCAGCCCCTTGCTCCGACTGCTAGATAAAAACCCCTTACCCCCAGCCCCTCTTTGCCCACCCATTCTGGCCCCCTTCCACTACTACATCAGAAGCTTTTCTCCTTCCCTAATAAACTCCGTTTTACTCTCCTCCTGTGTCCCGGCCTCTAGTTTTTCATAAGCGTAGGACAAGAGTCAGCACAGGTGTTGGGTCTGATCACCCAGCTCTCCCGCGTCAGAAGGGCAGTGGAAGGGTCCCTGAGCACCGGGTTGGGTTTCAGATCTGCTTAGAAATTCCCAAGTGAGGGGCTGCCTGGGTCTGCAAGAGCCCAGAACCATGGGCTGCTCTTGGGGTAGTGACCTCCCTGGAATGGGAGATGTGCAAGCAGTGCTTGAATGACTGGCATGGGGGTTGGATGGATGGTTGAAAAATACAACCCTCAAGTTCACTTCCTTCCCTTTGAATCGAAGTCTGGGGTTCAAAGCTCTCGGGAGACGGAAAGCGGTGTGAGCAGCACGCGGCCTGCGTCAGGCTGGGGGCCAGGGTGTGTTGGGGAGAGTTCAGTCCCGCAGAGCTTGGAGGTGCGGCCTTTCCTAGGGTTGCTGCAAATGTCCCCTCAGCCCCAGGACACTGATTTTTCCCTCTATTGGGGTACTTGATTCATCTGGTCCAGCGACAAGCAGTTCCCCCAGCCAGGAATGTGAGCATGTCGTCCACAAGGGGGCAGCCTGGAACCACAGATGGAGCCTCGCTCTGGCAGGTGGGCCCTAGAGCGGGCTGCGGCTCTGCTCCCTGGGAGTCCTTCCAGTCTCCCAGGCCTCTCACAGCCCCAGGTCTCAGCCCCTATCTCTTCCTCTCTCCCACACCAGGTCAAGCCCTGCCTGTCCATTCTAGGCTGCTTCTCTGTAGTAGATGGGGTCTTCCCTGGCCCCAAGCTCCTGGTGATGGTGGTAGGGTGTCTTCCCCGAGAGAAGTAGAGAAAGAGGAGCCTGGGGTGTCTGTGGGCACAGCCCTTCTTGTCCCCTGGGAGTTCACCCCCAAGCCTCAGTCCCCTCCTCTGTGGAAGTGGAGGGAGGGTCACCCGGTGCCGAGTGGGCAGGAAGCCCCCCAGAGTCTAGCTGTTGTGCAGTCTTGGAAAGGGGTCGGGCTCCCACCACTCTGTTTCCCAGTTGGGGAGACCAACTTGTTAGAGGCCTTAGACACTTGGAGAGCTTCCAGCACCTGGACCAGGTGCCCACCTGGGGATCTGGGGAGCATGGGATGGTACCGTGTGGTCCCAGGGAGCCCTGTGACTGACAGCCAGGTCCCCTGCCCTTCACTCAGACGCCCTGCCCCACCCAGAGCAGGTGTAGAAAGTGGGCGGCAGCGTCCCTGAGAGTGGCCTGGGCTGGGGTCAGCTGACCTCCTGCAGGCAGGCAGGCATGGAGGTTGGGGGTGGCAGTAGGGGGTGGGGGAGGGA